TTTTTTTTTTTCCTCTGAAAACCTAGAAAACCTTCATCTTCATATTAACTAAGGGCTCTAAAGTACATTTTTGGACTTTCAGCATCACTGTAGTTCCCTAGTTGAATTCTATGACCATAGAACCATGAATCTGGGAATGCTGCTTGTAACTATCTGCTGGCAAGTAGTATTTTACTTTGTCCTTAGAAGGTGTAGGGGTCGGAAATTGTGATATTTATACTAGGCAACAAGGCAAATCTGTGAGTCAGCCAACAAGGGAAAGAGAACCCAGTTTTCATGATCCCTTAACGCCTACTCTATCACTTTTCATCCTTTACACAGAGCAAAAACTTGACTTGTTTTCTCCGTTGTCACCTGCATTTGTAACTCACAGCAGTCATGGTTGTGATGGCTAGCAGAAGTCCACTGCACAAGTCTCGGCTGTGGAACAAAGTAAAGTAAGATTCCCAGTGTCAGAGGTGTCAGAGCACAGTGCTCCAAAGAGCTAAGTCACCTTGCCAGGCTCCAAATGCAAGTGACAGTAACTGACAGAAAGAGCAGCTGTCCTGCAGCACCAGGCTGGGGCAGCTGCCCATTCATCTGTTTCTGCTTATGCATTCCCTTTCCACCTTGAGTCATCTTAGTTGGAAGGACAAAGAATTTATCAGAATTTGATGTAATCCATACGCTAAACTGCAGATAGACTTAACTAGCTCCATGCCATTCTCAGGATGAAAGCAGAACAAGTCTGACTTGACTTATGAAAGCTGAGGGCAGGCAGGGTGCTAATTATAGGACCAGTCTCTGCTCCTCATCCCATAAACAGTAAGTATCTCACCATGGAGTCCGTTTCAGCTGGCTGGTTAGACTGTTTGTGGGCCAACAGGATGGTCAGCACTGCCTTCCAACCTGGCTCTGATGGAGCCTTGGCATTGGGCTCAGCTCCACCATTCTCCCTGGTTTCTTTGCCAGATGTGACATTCACCCAAGGGCACCAATCTCTATGCTGAGAGGTGGGATCAAAGAAGCTTCTTGAAGATGTGTCCTGAGGAAGGAGGAAAAGAAACAGTATTCATGAAGGGCAGATGCAGTGTAAATTCAGGAGGTATGGCTGTTAGTTATCGAGTTCAGAATCCCATGCCCACCCTTCTAGTTTTTATGTTCTCCTTTAAATTCTGCCTATTCATGTTCCCCTCATTTCCTGCACTCTTTTACTCCTTTTGTGGTAAACAAACTGTACCTTATCAGTTTTGTCGCCCTACCTGACTGCTGTCCCATGTACCTGAAATGTTTATTACCTTTCTAGAATCCACACCAAAGGAACAAGTGACAAAACCTTTATTTTTTTCCCTGTGGTCTCCTGGTCACCCACTTGTCCCATCTTTACACTCACTCAGATAGTTTACCTTTAGCCACAGGACCAGGGAAGGGATTATGCCTGTTTCTCCTGCTGCACAGGGAGGGCACAGCATGCTGTTTGTGCTCAGCACTTTCACGTGCAAACGTGGACTCACCGAGCTGCTAGAAGAGCAGAGGCGAGCTCGTTTGGCTCTCCGCAGAGGGCTGGATGGTACTTCAAGGCCAGTGGTGTCTCCTGTTCCCATTCTTCGGGTCACTGGGCGGGTTCTGGTGGTGGGGCTAGCAGCCTCTGGCTCAGGACGGTCGACAGGACTGGAAGAGTCCCAGCTCCTAGTACGGGAGACAATGGGACCTGGGCTCTTTTCAGCCTGCAGGAAAGGGAAAACAACAGAAGTACACAAATACTATTAGTGATTATGGTCAGAAAGATTTCTAGAAGCATGTGAAAACTAACATTTCATACTCCAAGTTATAAGGATTAAGTTTTTAAACTGCTTACAATGAAATTCTTTGAAGATTAGCTTTCTAGGCTGGCATGGTAGCTCATGCCTATAATCTTAGCTCTCTAGGAGGCCAAGGTGGATGGACTGCCTGAGCTCAGAAAATCAAGACTAGCCTGAGCAAGAGTGAGAAAACAAAAAACCAAAAATAGACCAAAAACCCAAGAATATTAGATTTCTGTGCTGTATTTTTTTTTTTAAATAGTCTCACTTTGTCGTCCTCAGTAGAATGCTATGGTGTCATAGCTCACAGTAATCTCAAACTCTTGGGCTCAATAGATCCTCTTGCCTCAGCTTCCCAAGTAGCTGAGACTACAGGTACCTGTCACAGTGCTCAGCTATTTTTAGAGATGAGGTCTCACTCTTGCTCAGGCTGGCCTCAAACTCCTAAACTCAAGCAATCCACATGCCTTGGC